GGGGGGGGGGCAAGTGTCAGCATAGTCAGGTTCAGCTTCCTGTGGCCTAATCACTTCAGTATGGGGGATCGGAGGAGATTGGGTAGCTTCTATTGTGCGCTGTAGGGCTGCAGCTTGTAGTGCAACTCCCTCATCTCACCTTATTTGGTATGTGACAACATGCAAGTAATGATAGGTGAGGTATAACACTGTGTCCCCACCCACTACTCAAACTTTGAGGTCATAAATATTAAAGATTGGCTATATGAAGTGAGAGAAGGGGAGGGGATCCGAGGAGGGAGAGTACGACGTTAGGGAGTGGAAGGGGAAAGAAGGACACAGGGATGAAAGGAGGGGTATGGGGCCTGGGTGATTTCACAGTCTAACTATTATAACCTGAGGAAAGGAAATCTAGACTGCTGGGATGCATGAGTGGAGCAGAGGAGCCGTGCAGAAAAGCAAAGGCAGAGGAAAAAAGCAGGAACTATAAAGAAACTGGACAGATAAACAGAGGCAAAGGAAAGTAAAGAGGGCTGTTGTTTCTTTAGTTCCTCAGCATTGTGAAAAGTGTAAATCAAATTGAGATAAAAAATACAACAGAAAGAGAGTGACACACAGAAACAAGACTGGGGGAAAGTACGCGCACAGCAGCAGTGTGACATGCAGGGAAGTAGGTTGGATCTAGAGAGAAAATGGATAGCTGGAAGGCAGGTACACAGCTAGAGGAGTTAGGTTGTGGAAGTGGTGTTGGCTTGAAATGAAACCGAGACTCAAAGTATGAAGTCCTTGAGCCTCCACTGGCTCGGCTGGCTCCCACACTGTTGTTTTGCTTTCATTTATGGCTCAAATCGACAGCTTGGAAACACCTAAAACAATCTCACAGCCTCTGTATGATCTCCCACACTGAAACCAAGTTAGCTCCGTGCCTTTCCTTCCTCCTCATTTGCTGCGCTTTAATTACATATTTAGGCTTTAGGAAAGAGCTCAACACCTGAAGGGTTGTAAGAAAAAGGAAAACGGGGATAAGTAAAGGTGAGAGGGTGAGGAAGTTATTTGTTTTCTTTGCATATAACTTCTGAAAACCTGGTGCTTTTGTGATACAGCCAATTATATCATAAAAACGGAAAACCAGAAGGAATTTGTTTCGGCCATCAAAGAATGGCATGAGGTCTCAAATAGAGCCAACCAAGCAAATTCCAAGAACTGTCCACCTGGGGCTACTTCACGCACCGCTGCTAGTGAGGGCATGTGTGTATGTGTGTTTATGTGTGTGTTAATCTTTAAGTCCGGCATGTACTGCCAAGGCACACANGGGGAGCTTGCCCCCTGACCCCCCTATGTGAGGTCCACACACCACCTATAAAAATAACACTTTACCCCTGCTTACACCTATATGCCGTGAGCTGATTATCGAGCCTTCATTGTAACAGTCGCGGGTACACTGTGTGTGTGTGTGTGGGGATTGTTGCAGTAGAACATTCCACTGTAGCGACCAGTACATTAATGGGAAACCCTAAATGTTTGAGCACCCTCTATGAAACGTCAAGCTACCCCACAGCACCCCCAAAATAGAATCTCTGGCGCCGCCACTGAGCCTGACTATTTGTGTTGGGGGGGCCCGACTTTTTTTTTTCTCCAAAGGGGGGGCCTGACAGAAAAAGTTTGAGAACCACTGATTTAATGGGTTTCTTGTTAGATTCCTAAAATAAGGTTAACACATGCTGAAGAGAATTTCGCGTTTCGTTCTATGGTATCAAATACGTCAGTAAACACCCCACTCGTCAATGTCCGAAGCATACATGTGTCAAAAAACAGTGGTGACTCAATGTGACTATTGGATCACAATGAACACATACCTGCTTTTAGCTTAGTGGTGACGTGAAGTCATGCGAACATGATGTACTTTGTTTTAAGTCTACAATTAGTTTTTTACTTCTGCCAATTGCATTTATGCTTTATAAATCACGAAAGTGTTGTTAACAAGTGGAGAACATCCTGCTGAACAAAACATGTCAGAATCATAAACGTGTGTTTGCCAACCTTTTATATTGGGAATTTTCCGAAAAAAACACATTGCTTTTTGTTCAGGGAACCCATGGGATGCTAAGATCCAGGATGGACTACAAATATACATCTGTACTTCACCACTCTAAAGCACTACAGAAGAGGAAATGTTCCAATAGAGCTTGGTCATACATGTACTGAAATGTAAATGAACTAATATTTGATTTTAGGTCATTACTATTTCCCTTGATGGATTATTACATTACAGTAATGCTTTCATTACACCATTTAGAGGGAGAGATAAGCCAACAGAATTTACCTCAAGTGAATCAACTCTTTGGATGTGTGTCTTTGTTTACCCAACTGTTAAATCAATACACTGCTATCTTAAAGCCTCCCCTAAAGTGCAGTTTGTTGTTGTTGCCATTACGTAACCTGCATGTGGTGCATACACCAAAAGAGATAATGCCACAACGTGCCGCTATGATTAATAGGGGAATATTCTGGTCGTGGTGAAACAAGCCCTACGGGGCGTCTCTTGGTTTGAGGCGATTGAACACTACAGAGGAATTAGGCGATTACCCCGGAGGCTGCGGGGGAACCAGGATGATGCAATGTGAACTCAGCGGGGAAACGGCCATCAATCGTCATAAACTAGTTCTTCGCTGGAGCAGGGAATCACAGATCTGTTGTCCAGCACATTCCAGAGCAGTGAAGACATGGAGGAAAAGGGGGAAACTTCAGCAGGTTGTAAATAAAAGCTCCAGACGATGAGCTACAAATATGCACTTTTAAACTTAGCTTTGACACAGCTTCTGTCCCCTGTCTCATACACTCTAATTTATCCTATAACTGCAATCATAACACTGTGTGTGTGTGTGTGTGTGTGTGTGTGTGTGTGTGTGTGTGTGTGTGTGTGTGTGTGTGTGTGTGTGTGTGTGTGCGTGCGTGCGTGCGTGCGTGCGTGTGTGTGTGTGTGTGCGTGCGTGTGTGTTTGTGTGTCCACATTATAAACATATTTTACTGAACTATTTATCAGTAATTGTTGCAATTATGTTTGACATACAGTAAGGTATGCACATTTCTATTTTGCATGAATTTTGCTCCTGGTAATATGACAATATTATTGCAGCACATTATTCATAGTGTCCATTTTTAATATCTCAATGTCATCTAAATGTAGTTTATTTGCGATATCTGCAGGCACAGTATTTAATGATTATCTTAGGGCTTTAATTAAGTATTTCCAGCGGAAGCTACTTATCTATTAGCTTAAAGCAGATCTTTAATGTAAAGACATTTGGAAGACTCTCTTTCAAGGCCTTCATCTACTAAGACGATAATATAATGTTAATGTATTCAAATGGAAAAAGCTTCTATTGACTCTGATCTCATGGATTAATCTGAAATTAGTTGACAGAATTAACATTAATAGTTATCATTAACTGCTCTTTGTATTTAATGAA